CAATATTGCAAGTTGAAGCTTGACTTTTTCTGTTGAGTTCTTTCAGTTTGATATAGACTGAGTTGTTTTTCCTGTTTTGTTTTCTAACTCTGGGTCTTTGTATGTTTCATTAAAATATTTGACTTTGTCTTCTCTAACTGCCCTTTGAAATTTTCTACTCAGCTCTTTGACTTCATCATTTCTTCCATGTGTCTTGGCTCCTCTATGATTAAGAGCAAGTTTCAGAGTCTTCTTACATCCATTTTGATCTTGTCTTTCTTTTTGTCTGTCTTTTCAGTGACCTTTTGATTTCTTCATGAGTGATGTCCTTGGTGTCCTCCCACAGCTCATTGGGTCTTCTGTCATTAGGGGTCAATGCAGCAAATCTTTTTGACATGTTTTCAGGTGGGATAGATCCAAGGTCGGATTTTGGCTTTCATGGATTTGTTTTCATTTCTTCAGCTTCAACCTGAACTTACATATGAGTAATTTGTGGTTTGCTCCACAGTCAGCCCCTGGCCTGGTTTTGGCTGCTGATACTGAGCTTCTCCATCGTCTTTTCACACAGCTGTAGTTCTTTATTTATTTATTTTTGTTTTCTGTGTATTCTTTCGGAGAAGTCCATGAGTATAATCACTTTTTGCGTTGTTGAAAAAGGTATTTACTCTATTTTGTTGGTCTTGCAAATTTTTATCAGGCAATCTCATTTCATTTCTATCACCAAGATCATATTTTTCAATGACTGTTCCTTCCTCTATTTCCAACATTTGCATTCCAATTGCCAATAATTATCAATGCATCTTGATTGCATGTTTGACCAATTTCAGACTGAATACATTGGTAGAATTCTCCAATTTCTCCATCACTGCCTTTCGTGGCTGGTGTATAAATTTGGATAATGGTTGTATTGATTGGATTTCCTTGAACTCAGATATAATCCTATTACATACAACATTGTACTTCAAGATAGATCTTGAAATATCCTTTTTGATAGTGAATGCAATGTCATCCTCTTGTTTCATTCGCAGGATTGTAAACGATATGATTTTGTTTCAAAATGGCCAACAGCCATCCATTTCAGCTCATTAATGTCTAGGGTATATATCTTTAGGTGTTCCATTTCAATTTTGATGACTTCCAATTTTTAAAAATTCATACTTGGTACATTCCAACTTCCAATTATTAGTCATTTTTGCAGCTGTTTCCTCTCACTTTAGTGCTATACCATCATCAAATGAAGATCCTGAAGGTTGTACTCCCATCATGTCGCCATGGTGGACTCGACTTTGAGAAAGCAGTTACTCCTTCTCACATTTAGAGGGCTTCACAACTCGAGGGGCCCATCCTCTGGCGCTATCTCTGACAAACTCTGCTTCCATTCGTGAATGTTGAGCTGCTCCATCGTCTCTTCCTACAGAGGCAGTCAATTTGATTTCTGTGTATCCCATCTACAGAGGTCCATATGTATTGTCACAATCTGTGTTGTTGTCCCCTTTCATTCATGAATGGAAGCAGAATGTGGAAATTTATATTATACGCCAATCAAAGTTATAGGCATTGAGAATCCAGACAAACAAAGCTTTCTTGGAGCTTATGGGCTAGTTGGGGGAGAGGGCAGTGCAGCAATGTGCAACAAATGAAGGTTCTTTCCCACATCAGGATCCGGGATTTGAACAATGAGAAGGTCAACAGCAGCATGAAGATCTGGGGGATTGAATTCAAGCTTAGATGACAGTAAGGGAGAAATTGAGACAGGACGCTCTTGACTTATCAAACGAGAGAGAAGGGTATTATATCTGGAGCCCAGAAAGTGTGTGAGTGCATGTGTGTGTGTGTAAGAGATAGAGATCTATCTGTAGGACTCACAGGGATGGTAAGGTGAATTTAATTCTAAAAGCAGAGATGCCATTTGAGGGTGGAGCATGGCTATGGTTTTTTAAAGGATTGTCCCAACAGCTGTGTGGAGTGTGGGTTTATTCTGGGGAAGGGAGGGTGCGTTTTGCAGACAGTACCAAAGGGATCAGTCAGGAAGGAAATATCAGCCACTGAGAATGGTGGGTTATTTCAGTGGAGATGAAAGTGGGAGGAGTCACCACACTGGGGTGAAAAGCTAAGGGCCTGCAACAGAGCAGCAAGGGGAGCAAAGCAACGAAGTCCCAAGAGAATACCAAAAATAGACTTTGGGGCCAGGGCATGGCACCCCATCAGACTCAACCAGAAAACAATCCTAAAGGTCAAAAAACAGACCTAGAACTATTTATAGGCTTTTCCCCCATCATTTTGTTTTTGTTGTTGTTGCTGCTGCTGTTTTTTGTTTGTTTTCTATAGTAGCTTTGTTTTGCTCTCTTGTTTTTGTTTATTATTGTCTATACGTGGCTATCTAGATAAAATAGGCCGGATAAGGAATCCAGAGGAGAGAACAATGGAACCCACAGTTCAGGGGGGGACAGGGGAGAAGGGGAGGTGAGGGAAAGGAAAGGGGTATCAACCAACCCAGGGACAAGGGAACAGCAAGTGATCTAAAATCAGTGGTGAGGAGTGTATAGGGTGCCTGGTAGGACTTGGTCAAAGGCAATGTAACCAAGAGGAATTACTGAAACCCAAATGAAGGCTGAACATGATAGTGGGAAAAGAGGAAAGTAAAAGGAAATAGAGGAAAGAAGTAGGAGGCAAAGGGCATTTATAGAGGTCTAAATACAGGCCTATGTACATTTGTAAATATATTTATATATAATGATAGGGAAATAGATAATTATCAAGGTAGAAGACAGACATTAGGCCTCTAGTCACGTCCTCCTTCAATGCAAGAACACTTTGTTCTACAACCTGGCATTCGGTGATCCTCGCCTTCCTGACATGATCGCTGAAGACAAAACGAGTGCATAAGCAAATATGGTGAAGAAAACTGATGGTCCCTGGCTATCACAAGATACAGCATCTGGGGTCTAAAAGGCTTGAAGATAAACAAGCAGCCATCTAGCTGAGAAACAACAAAGCACACATGGAATAAGCACACTAGCCTATGTGATAATGAGGTATCGAGGGGATCAAGTATCAGGCATCAAAGACCCAGAGCAAAAAAAATCATAATGTGAATGAGGGGGAGTGTAGAGTGGAGGTCCAAAGCCAATCTATAAGCAATTGGACATCCCCTTACAGAAGGGTCATGGGGAGAAGATAGGCCAGTCAGAATGCAGTATAGCACCAAGGAAATATACAGCTTTTTCTCATTCTTTAATGCTTCCCCCCCCCACCTCACTATCATGACCCTAATTCTACCTTACAAATCTGGCTAGAGCAGACCATGTATGTGGGTACAGATAAGAGTTGTAAACACAGGGAATACAGGACAGATAAACTCCTTGGGACCAATATTGAAAGTAGCCATACCCGGAGGGGAAGGGGAAGGTGGTGGGAGAAAGGGGGAACTGATCACAATGACCTAACTATAACCCGCTCCCAGGGGGATGGAGAACAGACGAGGTAAAGGAAGACATTGGATAGTGCAAGACATGAAAAAATAATAATTTATAAATTATCAAGCGTTCATGAGGGAGGGAGGGAGGGAGGGAGGAAGGAAGGGAGGGAGGGGGGAAGAAGGGGGAAAATAAGGAGCTGATACCAAGGGCTCAAGTAGAAAGAAAATGCTTTGAAAATGATGATGGCAACATATGTACAAATGGCTTGAGAAAATGGATGTATGTATGGATTGTGATGAGTTGCACAAGCCCCCATTAAAATTATTTTTAATCATATCAATGTGAAATTATTTTTTAATCATATCAATCAATGAGGGGAGTGCAGAGTGGAGCCCCAAAGCCCATATGTACACAATTGGACATCCCCTTTCAGAAGGGTCACAAGGAAGAGACGAGCCAGTCAGGGTGCATTATAGCACCGATGAAACATACAACTTTCCTCTAGTTCTTTAATGCTTCCTCTGCCCCACTCTCACGACCCCAATTCTACCTTACAAGTCTGGCTAGACTGGAGCATGTACACTTGTACAGATAAGAGCTGGAAACACAGGGACTCCAGGACAGATAAAACCCTCAGGACCAATAATGGGCATAGCAATACCAGGAGGGGAAGGGGAAGGTAGAGAGAGAAAGGGGAATCTGATCACAATGATCTACATATAATCCACTCCCTGAGGGACAGACAACAGAAAAGTGGGTGAAGGGAGACATCAGTCAGTATAAGACATGAAAAAATAATAATTTATAAATTATCAGGGGCTCATGAGGGAGGGAGGAAGGTGGAGGGAGGGGAAAATGAGCTGATGCCAAGGGCTCAAGTAGAAAGAAAATGTTTTGAAAATGATGATGGCAACATAGGTAGAAATGTGCTTGACACAATGGATGGATGGATGGATGGATGGATGGATGGATGGATGGATGGATGGATGGATGGATGGTGCTAAGAGCTGTATGAGCCCCCAATAAAATGATAATAAATAAATCAAAGGGGGAGGACTCAGGTCGAGGGGAGTGGTGGGGTCATAAGGCATGGATGTGGTAGGAAACAGAAAGACAGGAACTGTGGGTGATCTTGGTGCGGTTGCTCTTGTGAGATGCATTTACTGAGATGCAGAAGACTGAGGCACAAATGTGGGCTTGGGTCTCTTACCGCCCCAAATGCAGCTCAAATCAGTCAATCATTCCCTTGATTCAAAGGGTTTCTCTAAACTCTGGGACCCTCCAACCTGGTATGAAGTTGGGTTGCATAGCGTTTAAGTACACCTTCTTTGGCATACAATATTCTAGGATGGAATCTCCATGGATTTCTAACAGGGATCCTGCAGTTACCTAGCTTCTCAATGCTTCATTTTCCTCATTTGCAAAAAGGATAATGAACCTAAATGCCTAAGATGTAGTGAAATAGGTGAATGCCTAGTCAGTGGTAAGCTCTTTTGAAAGGTTGCTATTACAGCTTCCCTTGCAGCTGTCTCTGAATTCCAGGCCAAACCAGGCTGCTTAGGCAGCACCAACCAGGAAAAAGAGCTGACGAGTAAAGCAGAGTGAAAGACTTTCAGGGGCTTTATTATCCAGTTCCCACCCACACCACTTCAATAATACATCATTTTATTTAAGGAGATCAGGGACCTGGAAGATGGGCACCTGGCTTAAGGAAAGCTAAAGCTCCTCTTTGACACCTACTGTCTTTTCTTGTGTGGGAGGAACCAGTGGCGTAGGAAGTCCCACCTCCTTTTGCTCCATGGGTCCCTTCTGCCTAACTAGCTCTTCCAATTCCACCAACTTATGCGCGGGCAGCATCTTCTCTTCAGAAGGGTTCTCCTCTTCCTCAGCCAATACTGTCTCTTCTGTCAGCTCACTTTTCTCAATGGAAAAGACCTATTTTTGAAACATAACATAGAAAAGGAAGAATGGAGGAAAGAGGGGCACAATGAAATAGAGGGGGAAAAGATATAAATGATTATACTTGCCAAGACTTCTGTTTCTGGGAGGAAGTGCCCCAAAGGAATCATTCCTGGGGCCAGGAGATCTTCAGAAATATAAAAGTCCATTGGACTTGGATGAGGGATCGTTAGAGTATGGTTTTCCTTGCTGATAAGAACACCTGTGAGGGAACCACCCCTCCCAACGCTAAGTGCACAGGTGTGGCTGTTCCACTTCCAGCTCTGGGGCTGGGCAGATGACCCAAGCCCAAACAATGAGAGACTTTGCTAGGGCGAGGAATGAGAGTGACTTCTATCAAGTGGTAGGATATGAGACTGGAACTGTGATGTTCTTGCTGGCTCTTCAGAGAGGAAGAGACAACTTGAGGATCAAGTCAATGCAGCGGGAAACAAAGATGGGGGTTGGCGGAGAGGAAATCTTAGCATTACTGCCTGAGCTTTGACTCTATCCATGCCTCCCAGTTATGTAAGCTTCATCCCCATTGTTGTTTACACATGAATACTATTCATAACATGGGCACTTATTAATGCTAATCGAACCTTTCAGAAGATGGCATTACAGAGCAAAGGTTAGGGGAAGAGGAATTCTTCCATCCATCATGCCAGGAGGCAGGCCCCCATCAAAGCCTCAGGTTGCCATCTCAGCAACCGCTAGATCACAGGAAGCAGCCTGGAGGAGCCTTGGGAGAGTCTGCCTTTCCTCAGCCTTTCCAAGTGGCCACTTCTGTTTGCTCGGAGTAAGTACCCTTGAAAGATGCTGATGAGGAAAAGCCCTTGGCAGTTTTCTGTGGGGCAGAATTCTCCAGAGAGCCGCTGCTTCCCCTTACCTTGTCCTCTTCCTCAGCCCGGGCCTTGATTTGTCTTTCCAGGAAATCCGAAAAGGCCACCAGGGTATGTTCTCCCTTGTAGACTACAGCCTAGGAAGAAAATAGACGAGTAGGCCCGTGGCTTTTTCCTCCAAGATGTCCCAGAATTGCTCTAGTGGAATATTTGGAATCAAATTCCTAACAACCTGAACAGGCTACCTTTGTGCACCTACATTACCATGGTTCTAAAATAACCATCTTAACAATTCCTCCTTCCAAGAGTTAGAAGGTTCCAAGCGCGAACTCTGGAGCCAGACTGCAGGGCACAGCCCTGCTTTCATCAGTAGTGGTCTGGTCACCTCTTACGGTGACTTCTCACCTACACTCAGCCATCCTCTTCTTGGGAGCAGGGACCTCCTCCTACTTGTACGTCTTTGACACTGCTGCCTGCCGCCCTTCCCACGCCCCTCTACCCAATGTGTCTAAGTATCATGAAAAGTGGGTCCCATCAACACCAGGGATGGTCATTGACTATCACCCCAAAGTGGAAATGCCACTGTCTGTCTCTAGTGCACATACCTCATCCTAGCAGCATCTCACCCCAATATTTAGGTGGACATGGCCCCTACCTTATTCCACTTACGAGCATACCTTGTTTTATTGTGCCCCTTGATTACATTTTACAGATTCTGTGTTTTACAAATTAAAGGTTTGGGGCATCAAACAAGTCTATCAGCACTATTTATCCAACAGCACGTGCTCACTTCGTGTCTCTGTGTCCCACATTGGTAATTACAACAATATTCCAAACCTTACCATAATGCCCTTTCAGACATAATAGATTACAGTGTATTATAAATGTAATTTTTATGTGCACTAGGCAACCAAAAGGAATGTGTGACTTGCTTTATGGCAATGCTCTGGAACGGGTTCATAGTGTCCCCAAGGTCTGCCTTTAGTCAGGGTTCAGCCTCCATAGCAGAGGGAACCAAGTAACCCAGGTCTGATGCATGGTTTATCAGAATCATTAGCCATTATGATTGGGGCATGGATGGGAAACTGACCTAAGCAGGACTCAGCTATAGGGAGCTCTAGACCTTTTGTGGATATAACTGGTAAATAGTCTTTGGATGTGAACGTGAGTGGATAAGAGGAGTTGGAGCTCTTTGGGTAGAATTCAGAACTGGAAAGGAGGAGAATCCAAGTACCTGTGGTAGTTACATAATCTGGTGTCAATTTGAGACTTGAGAGGATTAAAAGTGAAGGGGTGGAGTCTAGCCTGTCAATTGGGAGGGTCATAGCCAATGAGGCCTCTGTCTGGACATGGCCTTCTCCTGAGGATTCTAGGAACTCCTGTGTTTCCTCCTTGGAAGTGGGAGACACACACTTTTTTTCTCTCTGCCCACTCCCTGAGAGATGCTCTACTGACCAGACATGTGGCATTATGCTGATAAGACCCCATTCCCTGGGAACTGGAGGAGCCACATGGAGACCCCTGCCAGCCCTGAGATGCTTACAACACCACTGGATCCACAAGACTTCCCACCCACTGGCCTGTGATCTTCCTGAATTTGGCATCACTGTAAGTGGTTCGTGAGTCTGAAGAGGACTTTATAGATTGGTATCGGACATTTGGGCTAATATAGGACTTATGGACTTGATCTGGACTGCGCTGGGATGTTTTCTCAATATTCAATTGCTCTTGTACATAAAGCTGTTTCCCATTCAAGTATGAGTCTCCCTGGATTAGTTTCTCTAGTCTACCCAGACTAACACAGTCCCAGATGATAAAATGCCATGTTCAGTTTTGTGTATCCCAGGAGCCCCTTACCTGTTCAGAGTCGAGAGGAAAGAACCTGAAGAATGGGTACCGGTCCAGGTACATCAGCTGAATGTCATTTGCCATGATGTCAATCCTGGCGATGGTGAGTGTGGAGTGATTTTGATACTTTCTGCCCAACTCTTCCAACAGTGGATAGAGTGCCTTGCACTTTTCAGACCAGGGTGCATCTGGAATAGAAGAGCCATTGCTCAGATTCACAACAGAGCTCCAAGTAGAAGTCAGTACCATCTAATAATCTCCATCATTGCCAGAGACCTGTCTACAGAAAACCCATGTGATCATCTGACACTCATCTTTTAGCGAGACTTACCATAACATCAGCTTGAAAATACAAATCAATCCCATTCATGGTTGACTTACCACATGATGGCACCCCATGAAAATAACAATGCCACTGCTCTTGCTTTCACTGATGACAATTGGTCTATGCTGTGCTCCACGTCTTTCTCTACAGTCTGCTCTGACCCAAGGAGGCTTGCATTTTGATGGTTGCATGATCTCTCACAGCTGGCAGTAGAAACGATGATGGTTCCCAGAAGCTGTTCAGTCTGTGATGCCCCCTTCCAAGTGACACCCAGGGCATGTGCCATACCTGCCATATATCTGAGGTACATCTCTGACCACAGTGCCCTTGCCCACACCTCTGCTGTTTATGAAGCTGCGCTTGATCTTTCTTTAATGATATATTAAATAGTCCTTTTCTCCCCCCATTTCAACATAGTTCTGGTCATAATTTAATAAGCCAGGAAAAAATGATCCCAGTTTCTTTCCATCCAGACACTAACTAATAACCAGCATGTTGGGCTGTTTTCAAAGATGATAGTCCTTATTGTTTAACTCTCTATTTTAACGTAGCTTTCCACTCCTGTTGAAGAAGAAAATATATTTGGCTTAAGTGATTCCTTAGGTTCTGCCACATTGTGTGTGTGTGTGTGTGTGTGTGTGTGTGTGTGTGTGAGATTTGAGATGCTGTTAGCACAAAGGCTCTTCATCAGAGGTTAAACTACTTGTGCAAGGCCATGCCATTAGTGATTAAGCAGAAGAGGTGGGGGTTGTGGACTGACTGTTTGGGCTTGTGACTATTACACAACACGACCTTTCTGGTATGTGGAAAATATTCCCAAGAAGTAAACTGGAGGCTGTGACAAGCACAACTTCCTCTGAGCTTTCCATGGGTGATTTCTTGAGTGTTGGGTCTAGCCCAGGCACTCACTGGGCCCTGTGAAGAATAATTAGTGCCAGGAGCCAATAGGAAATGGAAACTCAGCTTTGCCTGCTCCTCCTTCCTCACAAGGCTGAAATTCAAAATTTCTGTGAGCAGAATAACCTCAAAAGTCCCTGGACATTACAGTTGGGTGACCAGCTCCCATTTGCCAACCAAGTGCCTCGCTTTCCATTCCATCTGTACCAGCCACTGGTCAGCCCTACGGAAGTCACGTGGTCCCTGGGTTGGAACAGGGAGGGATATAATGGCTGCAGTCCCAGAGGGCCAATCTGACAGTCCTGCTTTGGGGGGGGGGGGACGATACAGCCTTGGCTTTTTATAAGAACCAAATGGGCATTATCCTAAGTGGGAGGATCAGATAAGTACCACCTCTCACTGCGAGGCAGCAGAGTGGGGTTACTCAGCCACACAGAGCTTCGTCCCCTCGACTCACACCTGAGAGTCCCTTTCGGTATGATTTTAAAGGCTTCTTTGATGCAGTCTAGCCCTGGTCACACCCTCACCCACAAAGGTTCCCTTTGAACTTGTCCCAGACTTGCCATGAGACCTGACGTAAAATAAGGAACCTCTCAAAATACTAAAAACCAAACCCACTGCCATTGAATGGATTCTGGCTCATAGCAGCTGTCAATAGTCTCCAAGGGTCTTTGTCCTTTCAATTGCCTGGAAGTTTTGGACCACTGACCTTGCAGGTGGTAGTCTAACACTTACCTGACAGCGCTGCCCGGGCTCCTTAATTAACCTATCAGAGCTCCTCAATTGGGTTGAAATACCCTTTCACAGGGATCACCCGACTCATAACAGTAGCAAAATTAGTTATAAATAGCAACAAAAATAATTTTATGGTTGGGGGGTCACCACCACATGAGGAACTGAATTAAAGGGTCACGACATGAGGAAGGTTGAGAACCGCGGATCTAGATCCCGGTGAAAGCCATTAGACCTTCTGTTAATGTTGAACTGCGTCCTCAAAAAATATATGTAATGTAAAATCCTAACCCATGAACATATGATGAAATCCCATCTGAGAATAGGGTTTTGTTACATTAAGGAGACCATACCTGTGTACGGTGTGTCTTAAGCCAATCAGGTCTACTCTGATTCATAGCAGTTTTGTTACGTTCCTGAGTCTGTGCTTAATCATACACCAGGAACCCTGCTAACTTAGTGTTTACTTACTTGTTGGGCTGCTAACCTCAAGGTCAGCAGTTTGAAATCAGCAGTTTAAAGCCACCAGTCCCTGAGGAGGAAGACAAGGCTTTCTACGCCACAAAGATTTACAGTCTTGGAAACCCACAGGGAGAGGTCAATCCTGTCCTATGGGGTCATAATGAGTTGGAATTAACTCAATGGCAACAAGTAGTGAGTACTTACCAATGGATATTGTAAGGATTAAATGAGATTTTATATATATATTAAATGAGATTTATATATATATATACATATATAAAAAGCAGCTTATCATGCAGTCTGATAAATTGCTGCATTCAACAGATGTTAATCATTAGCGTTGCTGTTGTTATAAGCAGCCAAACTCTTTGGATGTCTGAAGACCACGTTTCTTAGCTAGGACTGGAGATTTTAGTGGCCAAGAATTCAAAGGCAACACTGGAAAAGTAACATCATGGGAGCATTGCTCCCCATCTACCTCTGGGAGGTACTTACAGAACATCACAAACACATCCTTCTTCTTGTCAAAGACAACTCGGTTGAAGTTCTTTCCCACAAGCTGTTTCACTGGGCCCTGGTCCCAATATTCTGGGATCTCTTCGCTGGATTGGTGTTTCTAGGAAGCAAATTCAAGAGACCTAACAGTCTACAGAAAGAAGTTGGCAGTTGAGGTTCCCAACTCTGATAGAAACCATGGAAGTTTTTCTCTTGTTCTTACATAAGGGTCTTGGAAGCGGGTTTAAAATGCTGAACTAGAATCATAAGCTTGATTTTCTCGGGAAAATTGGGATCCGAGGGCTGAGAAGGCAGAGCTCCAAACAAAGATGGATTCTCAGATTTCAAATCCATGATTCTTAGGGTTTTTAGATGAGAGAGGGGTGCATGCATGAACAGCTCCAGTTGCACAAGGGGGAGCTCCATTCCACACTTAATCTTTGCTTAGGTCGTTCTCTCTGTCAGGAATGTCTTCCCACTCCTCACTCCTGCACTGTTTTCCTATAAGCCCACTCCATTTATCCTACCGAATGACCCCAAAGGAGACTGTCATGAATTAAATTATGTCCCTCAAGAATATGTGTCAACTTGCCTGGGCTATGATTCTCAGGGGGTTGGCAGTTATGCCATGATGTACTTTGGCAGTTATAGCATGATCGCCCATGATGTGATTGGATGTGATAAGCCAGTCAGTTGTAAACAGATGAAGACTGAGATGCAGCATCCTTAATCCCATCACAGTCTGTGGTAAACTGAGGGCCTGGATGAGAATGTAATGCAGCTTAATCCCCTATCCTCATAATTATGGGTCTGGAAAGCCAACTCTGGTGGGGGAAGACCCTTTGGTTAGGAGATATAAATAGATTGTAATATACATTTCTCATAACTAAACACAGCCCCTCCAATTACCCCCCATAACGGAACTGTCATGAAAGAACTACCATGTAAGATGAATCATTCGTGTGTCTGGCTATGTCCTGTGCCTGGAGGTTATCTGTAGGTAATAGCAATCAGGTTCTATAGCTGTAAAATGTAACAAGCCCTTGAGGAGGGCTCAGGACATTAGAGGTCAACTAGCACTAGGTCAGCACAATGACTCACCTCATTGTTTGTTTATCATGTTACCCGCTTATGATACTACCCATTGACTATGTAATATGTTAGCTATATGACACCCATGCCTGACAAAAGATCTGTACGCTCCATGTGCACCCATTGGAAAATACATTCACTCGTTGAGTCCTGACACTGGGACAAGGAGTCCCTGTGCTCCGCTGTCTGCCGTATATTCCACATTCGCCAAGTCAATCCTGCGGACCCTTTTGAGTGATGGGGATCCCCCATACTCCAACAACAGCCCTGATCTGCTGTAAGGAGGGTTTCCTTGGGGTGTGGCCTGCAAAGCCCTTTATCTTACAGCAGGTAAAAGAAGAGAGAAGCCAGCAGACAAGAGAGAGACCTCCTGGCACCAGTAAAGAAGAGCCAGGAATAGAGCACATCCTTTGGACACGCGTGTTGAGAAACTCCTAAATCCAGGGGAATCTGATGCCCAGACACAGGGGATCTGCAAGGAATGCTGGGCGTGCAGTCTGAAAGAAGACAAGAACCTTTCTCCTCAACGGAGTCAAACCAAAGAGAAAATCTTTCCCTAGAGCTTTGTGAATTCCGTCTTCTGGCCTCCTGAACTGTGAGAGAACAGACGTCTGTCTGCAAAAGCCAATCATGTATGGTGTTTCTGTTATGGGAGCACAACTGAGCCCTTCCCTGACTCTTCCCCAGGCTAGGCTAGATTCCATTATGACAACTTCTCCTAGCACTTGATACTGTTCTGTGTAATTTAAGATATAAATATTTGCCTGGAATCTTTGTGAATAATATGCATCTTTGTAGCTAGATATCCTTGAAGGATTTTTACCCTCATGACTAAGTATACTGGTACCTGTAATACCTGTCATTGTGTTGATTCCAAGCACGGTGATCCCACGTGTGTCAGCTTAGAACTGAATCCCAAAGGGTTTTCTGTGGTGGATTTTTTTCTCTAAGATGCCTGTGGTTGGACTTGAACCTCTAACAATTTGGTTAGTAACTGAATACAGTGTAGAGGCCACATCTGACCTCTTCCGGCTTCAGTGAGGATTAAAGAGAATCCATTTCTACAGCAACTGACACCAAGTCAAGGTCAGACAAGCCTCCACTCTTCATCCTTCTTTTAGTCTCTTCGGACAGCAACCATTTCTCCCACGACGCTCTACTTTTCTGCTAGGTTTGACCCTTGTTCACTGTGGCCACCGAGAACTCACAGGCCATCGTCACATTTAAGGGGGTTTATTGGGGAAGTTAACAAGCCAGGATCCAAAAACATGAAGGGGATCAGAAAACACTAAGGATGCCATCATTGGTTCCCAGCAACACCATTCCTCAACCAACAGCCAAATCTCTCTGCCGGGTCCTCAGCCTCTCAGCCACCTGGTCCCTTGGCCTTGACCTCTATGGGCCAAGAAGCCCACTTGCCACTCCACCTCCTTGTCTCATGGTCTCCTACCCAATCACATGGTGAAAGTCACAGAGACATAGGTAGAAGAGCCATGTTAAGACATTTCAATTGACCACAGGCAACCGAGCAGTTGTCTGTCTGCACCATGGAAGACTCCCTCAATAAATGTTTGTGAATAAGTAAATGAAGAATAAATCAAACTCTTGCTTTTTCTTGAATATGATGGTGGAAATCCTGGGCAATCATATTTTCTCTGGAACTATTGTCTCCTGTGTGCCTCTTGAATCCATACCCTTCTCTCCAGCCAATTTGTCACCACGCTAGTCCAGGAAGCCTTGATCTCTCATGTGGACCACTGAAATAGCCTCCTGAAGGTTCTCTCTGAAGCTTCTCTTGAGCCTCCTTGTAGCCCTATTTCCACAGGCAAGGTCTTATGTTCCCCATACAAATTTACATACTCCTGGCTCTTAGGATACCAAATGGTTGATGTGCTTATGACCCTCATATTTTATGACTTTTGCCCATCTCACCAGGCTTTTCTCCCATAATTCTCTTCCTCGCTCTTCCCTAGACTCTAGAAAGGATTAAAAAACATCTTTGTAGTCTAAGCATGTTTTGAAATTGAGGATGCCATCAAGATACAATGATCATTACTGATGATTTGAATGCAAAGGTTTGAATCTAAGAAGGATGGGCAGTTGGGGAAAAAAGACCCTGATGATAGAGATGCTGGAGACAGCATGGTAGAATTTTGCAAGTGTAATGACTTATTCATTGCAAACACCCTTTTTATCATCCAAGACAGCCACTATATACGTGAGCCACAGAACAGAGTACAAAATCCTCAAATCAACGATATCTGTGGAAAGAGACCAGGGGGAAACTCAATATCATCAGTCAGAAAAAGACTGTGGAGCAGACCAGACATACAGCCTAGAGCATCTCCCACTCATCTGAATTGAGAGACCATCTCAAGAATAGATTTGATGCTTTATACACCGAAGAAAACCAGACAAGCTGTGGGGTGCCATAAAGGATATTATACATGAAAAAAAAACAGGGGTAGAACTAAAAGCCCAAAATGCTTTATAGAAGAGATTCTGAAGCTTGTTCTTGATTGTAGAACAACTAAAGTGAATGAAAGAAATGATTAAATCAAAGAGTTCAACAGAAGGTTTTTGTTTTTAATCATTTTATTAGGGGCTTAACAGAAGGTTTTAAAAAGCAGCTGAAGTCAAAGTGTGACAATAACATGTGCAAACTTATAGTTAGAAAACCAAAAAAGGGAGAAAATATTTAATGTTTCAAACCAAAAAAGAACTAAGGAAAAATGCAAGCCTTGATTTTCAATACTTAAGGATTCTATGAGCAAAAGAGAAGGAGTACACAGTAAGTGCATAAAAAATAAATGATTGATGCTCCACCATTTCAGAAGGCAGCTGATAGTATTGAAGGAAGAAGTCCAAGTTGCACTAAAATCATTGCTGGGGATCATGGCTCCAGGTACTGACAGCAGAGTACAAATTGAAATGTTTCAACAAATCGATAGAGCTCTGAAAACACTCATTGGTCTATGCCAAGAAATTTGGAAGACTGCCTAGCCAACCAGCTGGGAGAGATATATATTTATGCCCATACCAAAAAAGGTGGTGTATAGGATCTAGTAGAAATAAAAATCTAGTAGAAATCTTGTAAAAATTAGGGAACCATATCACTAATATTGCATGCAAGTAAAATTTTGCTGATGATCATTCAAAATCATTGCAGCACTGTGTATATAGGGAACTGCAAAAAATTCCCAAAAAATCAAGCTGGATACAGATAAGGACATAACATGAGGGTTATCGTTACTAACATTAGATGGATCTTGACTAAAAACAGTGAGCTGCAGAAAGATGTTTAACTGTGTTTTTCTGACTATACAAAGACACCTGACTGGATAATACTGGAAGAATGGGAATTCCAATACACTTGATGGTACTCATGCCTCCCATGTATGGCCTAAGTGCAGATGGCTGAAGAAAAGGGGAAAACAGAAAGACTAGTTGCCCTCTGGCTCACAGAGACCTCATGTGTTACAGAAGAGAACTAAGCTGCACAGAGTTTCCTAAGACTAATAAATAGCTTGTCTGAAAATAACCAAGTCTTTCTACTGATACACCTCTAGGTGGGCATTGAACCTCCGACCTTTGGGTTGGTAGCTGAACACATTAGTCATTTGCATCACTCAGGGATTCCCAAGTTAGACTAGGCTTTTAGAAACTGACGTATCGGGAATACTGTGGAGTAGGGCAAGAAAGGAAGTCTGTGTTTGGGAATCTGTGTCTTCCAAGAGTGAGTCAGAGAACAATGAGCGGAGGGAACCGATGGTCTGAAGTGCAAAATCGTGTAACCCAAATATCCTGGGTGTTTGCTGGTAGAAGGAAGAGGAATGGTTTAGGAAGGGAAAAGCAGCCCTATTTGAGAAGGCTACCAGGGAAAGCAGTGTGCTTGCGGGGAAGAAGAGGCAGGAAGGAAGCCTTCAGAGTTAAGGTGACCATCCGTTTGTTTGCCTGTGAAAGTCACGTTTTAGTTGCTGCAGTAATTTTACCTTGTTCTGTTGCAGAACACTCTACAAGGTATCTCCTTTGGTCACAAAAGCATCCGAGTTCAGAGCTTAAATAAGAGAGTCACCTTACTCGGTGGGGCAGTTAGGGGTAGATCTGACCATTGGGATGAATACAGTTTTCCGTGGCTGGTCTTCATAGCAACAAGCAAACTGTCACGGAGGATACACCACTGCCCCTCAAGGCGGGCAAAACCCCTGCCTTTGTTGGTTTTGTGTTTTAGACAGGAAGACATAATACACATGACAGAGAGATGATGGCTGCCTCTGGTGCATCAGCTAAGAATCCAACCGGGTTTGTCCTCATGAAAAGTGAGAATTCTACTCACAAAACCTCCAGTGACCTCCGTTGAGGACCATAGCAGGAGCTGTCTAACAGCGAATGATGGGTTGTCTGGGAATATGTCTGCAGTCTCTGCTCAATTTTGGCCAAGCTTACCCCCTCCCACCCACATGGCCAGAAGTCTCCTAAAGACTATGGACGAATCCTGATAACTCTGTATCCCACCCACTTCTTTCTGCTGCCCATAAGCACACATCTACCCTGGGCACAAGTAGTTTTGTCACACTAAAGTCTGAAATAAGGATTAGAGTCTGAGCAGTTAGCTCTCCTGATGGCCAGCATCTTAAGGGGAGATTTGGAAGGAGGTAGTGACTTGACTTGAAGAATAACTAACGAAGCTCAGGACAGGTCAGGAGTTGGATAGCTTGGAGGGAGGAAGATGAGGTGATTTCTCCACATTGAAACGCTAGGTTTATCTTTATCATTCCTTCCCATTTGGGTGAACAAAGCTTGGAGAATTATGGGAAAGGAGTGATTCTGAGATTGTTGGTAAATCTTGCCCAAGAAGAAACGTACCTTCGCTTTGCTACTCAAGAAGCTGGTGCTGAATTTCTTGAGGTTTTCATAAGTTATCTCTTCTGCAGGCATTTTGTACCTCACGTCAGAAGTCAAGTTGAGGATTTGGACAGATGGGATATCCACTTCAGTGACCCGGAAATACTCAAAAATACGTCCGTTTCTGGGATCATCAGTGTCCACAAGGATGAAAAGGATCTGTCAAATCAAATAGAATCCATTTCTCTCTGGATCTTTTACCAGTGGAGGGAAACTATTGGGAAACTTTGGTAGTGCCCGAACCAAACACCAAACTAAGCCCATTGCTACTGAATCAGGTCCAATGCATAGTGACCCACCGGAGAACTACTCTATAAGGCTTTTAACAAATTTTAATAAATAATTGTATTGGGGGCTCTTACAGTTCTTATAACAATCCATACATCAATTGTATCAAGCACATTTGTACATATGTCGCCATCATCATTTCCAAAACATTTTCTTTCTACTTGAACCCTTGGCATCAACTCCTCTCTTTTCCCCTTCCCTCCCCCGCCCTCCCACCTTCATGAACCCTTGATAATTTAGAAATTATTTTTATTTTCATATTTTACACCATCCACTGTCACCCTTCACCCACGTGTCTGTTGTTCATCCCCCAGGTGTGGAGGGTTGTACATCGATCACTGAGATCGGTTTCCCTTTTCTCCCCCGTATGTCCCCACCTTTCCCCTACCCTCATGGTATCTCTCATTATTGTTCCTGAGGGGTTTATCTGTCCTGGATTCTGTGTGTCAAGAGCTCTTATCTGTACCAGTGTACATGGTCCAGTCTAGCCAGATTTGTAAGATAGAACTGAAGTAATGATTGTCGGGGGAGGGAAGCATTAAAGAACTAGAGGAATGTTGTGTGTTTTTTTGGTGCTATACTGCACCCTGGCTGCTCGTCCCTTCCTTGTGACCCTTCTGTGAGGGGATAGTCAATTGGCTACAGATGGGCATTGGGTCTGTATTCCAACCCCCCTCGTTCTCATCTAAATGGTTGTTTGTATTGGGTCTTCTGATGCTTGATCTGGTCAACACCTCATGATCACATGGGTTGGTGTTTTTCTTCCCTGTTGGCTTTGTTGCTTCCCTGCTACATTGCCGCTTGTTTAACTCCAAGCCTTTAAGACCCAAGATGCTGTATCTTGTAATAGCTGGATACCATCAGCTTTCTTCACATTAGCTTATGGACCCATTTTGACTTCAGTGATCGTGTTGGGAAGGTGAGCATCACAGAATTCCAGGTTATTAGAACAAAGTGTTCTTGCATTGAGGGAGTACTTGAGTAGATGTCAGTCAGCAACCTTAATACTTAACCTATAAATATATGTACATTGACCTATATCCCTGTCGTTATATATTAATATATTTACATATATACTTGCCTATGTTTATACCTCTATAAATATCTTTTGCCTCCTAGTTCTTTCCTCTATTTCCTTTCACTTTACTCCTGTTTCACTATCATGTTCGAACTTCATTCAGCTTTCTGTACTTCCTCTTGACTACATTGTACTTGATCAAACCCCAACAGGTATTCTATGGCTTCCTGGTCATCGATTTTAGATCTCTTGTTGTTCCCTTGCCCCTGGATTTATTGTCTTGCCCTTTCTTTTCCCCCACGTCCTCCTCTCCCCTGTCCCTCTGGAACTGTTGGCCCCGCTGTTTTGTCCTCAGGATTGTTGATCCTGCCTATCTTATATAAATAGACATGAAAAAAATAGCCTATGAATAGTTACAGGCCTTTCTGCTGACCCTTATGGATGTTTTGCGGGTCTGATGCAGTGCCAAGCCTGCCCCTGAGTCTGAAGTCTATTTTCAGAATTCCTCAGGGATTTTGTTGCTTTTCTCCCCTTGCTGCTCTGTTGCGCTCCTTTCATGTCATGCCCTGGTATTGGGGGTCATACTGGGCACAATTCCTGTACTGTGTCTCCAGTGCTACCACCTGTGGCACTGTGGGTCAGTAAGGGGCATAGTAGTGTCTTCTACTGGGGCCAACCCTAGGTCCTCTCTGTGCATTGGCTACTCTGTGGAACCACTGGTGGGTTAGAACCATCAACCTTTAGGTTAGTTCCTGCATACAAACCATATGCACTGCCTGGGGACCTTCTGTAGAGATGACAGTCAAGAAACTGTTACTGAGTTCTACTCGGTAACACATGTCATTGCCAGATGTCAGAGTTGACTTGACATCAGTGGGTTTGGCTTCTTTTATCAAAAGCTCTATGGAAGTAGATTGCCAGGCCTTTCTTCCATGGTACTTCTGGCTGGATTCAATCCATCAACCCTTTTAATAATACAGTGCAGAATGTGTGCACCAGGCAACGAGTGTGGTGAATGCACTCATGGAATCCCGATGGCAGATTGTATGGAGCACCTCTGTGGGACTTAATTAAGGCCCCCTTCCTCCAGACAGGTACAGTCCTGAACGTCAGATAGCATCAATTAGCCTGGTCTTAGTTCTCACGTATTGTCTTATGAGAACATCCCTGTTCAGGGCGCCATCCACACAACCATAGCCTCCCTGCTCCTTGGCCAAACTGTCATTTTCCTTTCTGTGCCTCGGGATCCTTACCTGTAGAATGGTGATTATGATACCAGCCACCTTCATAGGATGGCAGTGAAAATCCAACAGGACCATCCCTATGAAGGACTTGTCTCAGTGGACAACAAATAGAAAGTGCTCAATACAACTCAACCTTTTTAAATTCAACTTCTAAATTATTTCCTGCCAGGAATTGGTGGCTTCGTTCTTTCATTCACTCCACAAAGATCCATGGAGCCCCTTCCGTGGGCTCAGCATTTGTCTGAGCACAGGGGATACACCGTTGCCCAAGGCAGGCACCATCCCTGCCCTCTGGAGGGTATGTTCTAGTGGGGAAGATAGGCAGTAAGTGAACAAGCTAATAAAGCAAATCCAGAGACTGATCATTGATGATCAGCTTGACACCCAATCTGGGCAGAGCCCGGTGACTACACCTATGGGACAAGTTGGCGGTTCCATGCCAGGCAGTGTGAACAGGAGGCATCTCTGAGGATGTGATATTTTAGCTGAACCTGGTTCAAGTAACAGGTCAGAGGAAGGATGACCCAGACAGTGGAAACTTCCAATGCAGAGGGCTGGCAGCAAGTGGAAGGGAAATGAATTTAGAATATTCCAGAAATAGAAAGGGCAGACCCATGTGGCTTCAGCACCATAAGGTTAAGGGTGAGAGAGGGAAGAAGAGGGTCATGGGAGCTGAGGTCAAGGACGCATTGCACTTCAGCAACCTCTGTAAGGTCATTGAATTTTAGTTGGAACGTGCTAAGAGGCCACTGAAGGACATTGAGATGTAGTGAATTAATATAGCCCTTCAAGCTATAATCCTTTATGTGATTATTTTATGTGATGGTCTCTATGGGCTATACTTCCACTTTGGAGGGAGTTGTCATTACCTATGCTAATGGACAGGATTAAGGTGGGCTATATTCTGAATTTCTACCTTACTAGAGCGTATGAACCAAGTCACCACCCTATGATGTTTCCTTGAAGGTATGGTTTGCTGAAAGACGGAAACTACACCTCCATCAAAGCCATTCCTCTGTGTATAGGAGCCATCTCAGAAATAGGAAGAGAGAGAAATCCAGGACCATTAAGGAAACAAGGCAAGAGTGGAGGACCTTCGGGTACTCTGTCCTGAAGTACTGGAGGCCAAGACCAAAGGCATTCAAGGCTGCAGCACAGAGAGCTTGGGACAAAGCAAAGGTGCCAGGCAGAGGCAAGGAGACCTTGAGACAGAACAGAGGAGAAGCACCAAGCTTATGAAACTGTGAGGCTAAACAACAGGCTGGCTTCCTGGGCCCCAAAGGCAGAAGCCAAGGACTCACATGGTGGAGAGGCTGAGGACCAGAGACTTGGTTATTGTCTGGGGAGAGGTTCTACTGTGGACTAATAATGGTACCCTTACAATTGACTGAGACTGGCTTGTGGTAAACTATTAATATACCTAATAAACCCCCTCAGTCATGAGTAATAGAGTGTTGTTCGTGGGAGGAGAGTGGAGGCATGTCGGACCCCTGCCTCGTGGCAATAAGGAAGCTGGAGAAGGTCAGCTTTGTCCTCTGCCACATTTTCAGAGATGGTAGCCTGAGGCTGGCATGATGGTGCTATGGAGAGGTCCCTCTGGTCTTCACACAGGGAGGGGTTCACAGAGAAGCCACAGGAATGGAAGCAGGGCTAGTATTGGGAAGCGAATGCAGCCACCAGGTGTCAGAGCTTCTTGGCAAGCACCCCTCAAAATACAAAGCGCCCCACTAAGTATCAGTGAAAAACATGAATAACATTAAAACCATCATTTTCCATTTTGAACTAATATTGTTTGCCTGCAATACAACGGAAACAGTCATGATGGTGTAATTATTGAACTAAGAATCGGAAACCTTTGTTTCTCTTTGGTCCTGAGAGGGATCACAACGGATTGGAGAAGCATGTGAATGGGGGTGACAGCGATGTTGGGCCTCGTCTTATGCTCTGTGCTCTCTGGCGTAAATTGTGCCTTCAAACCTATCTGCTGTCCATCCAAAACCCTATGCTTGTGGTTGCAATGATGTTGGGAATGGGTTTTCTTTGTGATGGTCATGAGATCGTATTAATAGAAAGTGGATGTTAGGCCCATCTCTTCAGAGAGAATAGAGTAGATTAAGAAAGCACAAATGGGGCCACAGACCTCCAAGGACAAAGAAAAACACTCCCCCAAAGAGAGAGAATTTTCCCAAGGACTAGTCACCTTAATTCTAACTTCCAGCCGCCTAAACTGTGAGCAAATAAACATTGTGGATGGGGTTGCTGTGAGTCAGTATCGATTCGATGGCAATGAGTTGAGTAAGTTCAAGTCACCCACTTGCGGCATTTCTGTCATAGCCATGCTAGATAGCTAAGACACAGACCAAAATAAATCCCAGCTAGGTTAAGGAGTTAAAGCCATAAACTGGAAGAAGATGATGATAATACAGTATGGACTATGATAATATAGTATGGAGTATGATAATACAGTATGGAGTATGATAATTCAGTATGGAGTATGATAATTCAGTATGGACTATGATAATACAGTATGGAGTATGATGATTCAGTATGGATTATGATAATACAGTATGGACTATGATAATACAGTATGGAGTATGATGATTCAGTATGGACTATGATAATACAAAAATAGAGAGCGAGCACACAGATTGTCATCAACCTAACTATTTCAAGAATATTAAAGCCTACCATTTAACAAGCCAGGAAATACATGTGCAAGAGGTACCTCTGTGATGGAGTCCCAGTGCACATGCTCTGCAGCGAATCCATGGGTTGGACTTCTGAGCCCATCTCGCACTCATGGAAGAAGGCATCAAGAGATCAAAGGAGCTATCGCACTGGGCGAATCTGCTGTACAAGACCTCTTTAAGGTGTTGAAGAGCAAGGATGTCAGTCTGAGTCCCCAGGGGTACCTGACCCAAACCACAGTATTTTCAACCCCCTCCAATGCGTGTGAAAGTTGGCCACTGCATAGGGAAGAGTGAAGGAGAAGCAATTTGTTTCCGTTATCATGGCTAGGGAAGAGCATTGCGATTACCATGGACTATCAGAAGAACAAAGCAATCTCTCTGGGTAGAAGTACAGCCAGGATGCTCCTTAGAAGCCAGGATGATGCCACTCACCTCCCATACATGTTATCTGCGAGACTAGTCTCTGGCAAGGGGCCTAACGTGTGTTAAAGTGAAAGGTCAGCCAAGAGAGAGGAAGCCCCTCAATGAAATGGACTGACCCCGGGGCTGTCACAAGGGCTCCGCTGGAACGAGTGCGAGGATCGCGCTGGACCAAGTAGTCTTGACTCCGTTATCCATAGGGTCACTCTGAGTCAGAACCAACGTGACACCCAACCAAAACAGAGGCGTCCCTGGTCATTTCCGTACAAAATACCTGTCACCGTAACATTTTGAAGTGTGGTTCTTTTCTGACACAGATGGGGCCACCTGGCGTCGAAGCCGACCCAAGGATAACTGGTTATATTTGTGTCTTGAAACCTTTCCCTGGAGACCACCAGTGCGACAGGCTGAGGCATGGATATTAAATATGCTTACAGCCTAGTCATTTTACTCTATTTCCCTTTGGTTTCAAAATGCTTACGTGTTTGATTTAAATCTCAGCCTAATTTTTCATCAAGAAGAAGTAAAGCATCTGCCATCCTCCTCCTCCTGGTAAAGGGAATGCTGCGAGGCGTCATCGAGTCGGTTCTGACCCATTGCGACCTGAGACCCAACCGAGAGAAACACTGCCCGGTCCTGCACCAAGGGCTCAAGTGGAAAGCGGGTGTCGTCAGAATGATGAAGTCAACATATGTACTAAAGTGCTGGACACAGATGACGTATGTACAGATTGTGAAGAGTTGTATGAGCCCCTAATAAAATGATTATTTTTAAAAAATAAACAATTGTAAAAATAAATAAAAAATTAAAAGCTAGCCCTCCCCTTGTCTGCCTTGATAACCAAGACACAGAGTAATGAATGCTTAGCAGAAACGCGTTGGCTTCCAATAGCAATAAGAGTGAATGTCATTTACCTTGTCTTTATTCATTGCTTTCCCTAGCACGTCCATTTCTGAGCACGCTCTCCACTTTCCGCATGAGACAACTGGCTCAGAGAAGTAGACGGATTGTACTGTTGTGTTTCTCATGGTCCATAACCTTGTCCAGGAGTGATCTCCTCCCTCTTACCCCCAACCCAAGTACAACCCCAAGTTTTACCCTGTGGTGACAGCGGCTCATCCAACGGAGGCCAACCATTAGCTCTCCATCAGTGGTGTTAGATGCCGCAGACACGTGCGACAGCATGTAAAGCAGAAGGAAACAACGCATTGCCCCATGCCATCCTCACGGTCATTGCTAGGTTTTGGTCCATTGTGACAACCACTGTGTCCATTCATCTCCTGGAGGGCCTTTCTCCATTTTTCCTGACCATTTACTTTACACCAAGCATGATGTCCTTCTCCAAGGACTGGTCCCTCTCGATCATTTGTCCAAAGTACGCAAGACAAAGACTTGCCACCTCACTTCTAAGGAGCCTTCTGGCTGTACTTCTTCCAACATAAAAGTATGTGTTCTTCCGGCAGTCCACAGCATAATCAATATCCTTCACCAGACCGTAATGCCAAGGAATTAATTCTTCCTCGGTCTTCCTTATTTATTGGCCAGCTTTTACATGTATATGAGGCAAAACCATGGCTTGGGTCAAGTGCGCCTTAATCTTCAGAGTGACCCCTTTGCGTAATTCAATGCATTATTTGGTTGTGTGAGGGCTACTTCCATAGATGTTGACGTTGGCTCCATGTAAAAAGAAATCCTCGCCACTTTCAATATTTTCTTCATTTACCATGATGTCGCCTGTTGGTTCATTAGTGGGCATTTTTGTTTTGTGTTGGGGTGTAATCCATATGGAAGGCTGTGGTCTTTGATTTTCATCAGTAAATGCTTCAAGTCCTTTCACTTCCATCACACGATAGTAGACTTATTAAAAAAGAGACATAGGCGTGGACTGATTTCTGGCTTCATGTATAATTGGGTTTTACAGAATCCACAGGCAGCAGAATCTGCAGGTTTGGGATCCCCACCCAAGAGCCCCAAAGCACCGTGACACTTGTCACATACCTTGTTTTGGAAGTCCTTTGATGCCAACCTGTAATGTTGAATTATGAGCTCAAATGACTCCGAGCTTTTAGAGGCAAAGAGCAGCATGTGATTCAGGATGTTCAATTCGTAAATCAAATCCTTATTCTGAAATGATAAAGGAAACAGTTATTCTGCACACACACACACACACACACCACCCCCCAACCCCCACCCCTGGCCTCACTGCCCACTTCCTGGGGGCTGTTTTCTCACTGACCTCAAAGTTGTACTCAATAACAAAATCTGTGAGTTGCTGTATGACGACGTGCTTGAGGGTTTGCTCATTGGTATTGTCGTTAATAAGCTCTTGGCGGTTCACAACCTTTCCCTGGGACCGAAAAAAGAAAAACATCAAAGTGACTAATTGTCATGATCTGGGCATTTAATAAATATAAACAGGACACTTTTCCCCTTTGGATAAAAGCATTGAGAAACGGTGGCATGTGCAGTCCCTAATTGTAGTACTTGACAAATACCGGCAGCTGGGCAAGAGGGTCAAACACAAGTATGTGGCAGCTCCGGAAATCCTCTTTCTCCAGACGCAGGGAGTATAATTAACTGGCAGGGCCAGCTGCTGCATGCTGTAACCCGTCGTGCTAAGGCTCTGCGTCTCACCAGCTGCTCCAGCTAGCTGCTGAATGCACCAGAGATATTAAAGCTAGCCCTTTTCTGTGGGATGAGGGACTTCTCTGGTGGGCAACTTTGCTGCACATTCTTAAAGTTCCACCACAGTCTAAGACTCTTCCGTCAAGCCTCCCTTCCTGGGTAAAAGATCCACATCAGGATCTCACGAGTCTCTGAATCTCCCTGAGCTCCCTCTCTGTTTTCCTTTGCACGTGTTCCTCATCATGAATCTTTTGCCTGTTTCCTTCAGCTTGAGGACTGCTTCTCAAATGACTCAGCTTAGGCTTCTTTGCAGTGCGAGATCCAAGTCTGAGGAATAGGAGAAACAAGAAGCTAGCTCTTGTTTTCTCTTTCTTCCATCTCCTCCTCTTCCTCTCTATGAATCACAGCCTAGGCCAAACCCTTCACCTGACTCCCACAGTAGCCTCCTGCTGGTATTACAATTTCTCTCCTTGCTTCCCTCCAATCCATCTCCCCACACTTCTGCCAAAGTGAGGTGCTTGGATGCAAATCTGATCATGTCATCCACTTGGTTACAGCACATGGTCGACCTCTCATTACCCAATGGATAAAATCTAACCTCTTTGCTGCTCATAGCAAGTGATAATGATAAATACACTTAGCGAGAACTCATATTTTGATAGCTACTGTTTTCAGCATGCCGTATACTTAACTCACCCTCTTCCCATTCGACAGACGAGGAAATTGATACAGAGGACTGGCCTGTACGATACAGGCCCACAATTCAAATACAAATGTCTCATCACTATACATTAAACAATCCATATTTCCCCACTGATCTCTAATACTTTAGTCTTTCTTTTTAAATACTCTATTTAGTATATGCTAAGTTTCTCTGCGTATTTGAATCTACTCTGGACTAGATATTGTTCTGTTTAAATCACAAATCAGATTATTTTATTCCAGTGTAAAATTTTCAAAGAGTTTCATGGACAATTGTGAAAATATATAAGGGTTCAGAGCCTTTTCTTCAAAGTCAAGTAATCTAGGTATAATTCTATCTACTTCCTGTGTGGCCTTGGGTAAGTATATTAGCCTTTCTGAGACATATCTACAAATAGCATGGCTATTGTAAGGGTATGGCTTGTGTGATGAGGAAATAAAGTGTTTCTGGAACCAGATAACCATAGAGACAGGAGGAGTACTGTACAGTGGAACTTTCTATGATGACTGAAATGTTCTATGGATCCGTGCTATCTAATATGGTAGCCATGCGCCACATGCCAGCCCATGTAATTGAGATATTAATTAATTTCCATTAAAACAGACACACAAGGCTGTTGTTAGCTGCCATTGAGTTGGCAATTCATGACACTCCCATACACAACAGAATGAAATGCTGCACAGTCCTGCACCATGTCCATGATTGGACACAGATGAGATGTGCCGCCATTGTGACCCATGGAGTTTCCATTGGTTGGTTTTCACCAGCGGCTATCATATTGGGCAGTACCGGTTTAGAGCTTGGAGAGGAGTAGAAGGAAAGTGTGCACTGAGGCTGGAGAGATATATAGAGGCCACCCCATGAAAGACCTTGCGGGCCTCATTAAAAATTAGAATATTTATCCTACTACAAATAGGAAATAGTGAAAGGCCTGTCAGTGGGAGAGAGCTTTGGGAAAGTTTCTTTTTAGACAATGAGAGAGACGTAACAAACCAAGTGGGCAGCTGATGTAGTCGAGGCTGTGGGAGACGGTGGTCACTTGATCTAGGATGGTAGTTGTGGTAGTCACCTAATCTGGTGTCAATTTAAGGATTAAGAGTGTCGGGGTGGAGTCTAGACTGTCAATCTGGAGATAGTCAATGAGACTTCTGCTGGCATGGCCTTCTCCTGAGAATTCTGGGAAGTCTGGTACTTCTTCTTGGAAATGGAAGACACTGTCTCTCTCTCTCTCTCTCTCTCTCTCTCTCTCTCTCTCTCTCTCTCTCTCTGCTATTCTCTGGGAGACATTGCAGAAGATGAGCCAAATGGACGCCACCAGACCTCAGAAGCCGGAGAAGCCACAGAGAGACCCCTGCCAGCGCTGAGATGTTTTCAATGACACTGGGTCCAAAGACTTTCTACCCACTGGCCTGTGATCTTCTGCATTTGGCGTTATGTGTTTCGAGTCTGAAGATGGCTTTATAGGTTGATATCAGAAATATGGGCTAATATCAGACTTATGGACTTGATCTGGACTGGGCCGGGATGTTTTTTCAATGCTCAGTTGCTCTTGTATATAAATATCTTTCTTATACACGTGTGTCCATGGATTTGTTCCTCTAGTCTACCCAGACTAACACAGTAGTAGAGTTAGAAAGAAGTGGGTAGGCTCATGGGATATTTTGCCTATACTGCCAGTATGATTGGGTGGGTGGATTCGTTGTTGGAGATGGAAAGGGGGAGGTGTCAGAATGATGTCTGAATGTCCTGGTTTGCTAACCTGGATGGATAAGATGGTGGCATCGTTCACTGGGAGAGGGAAAAGCCCCGGAAGAGGACTTGGAGGGAAGATTCAGACTTTGGGCTCAGCTCAGTTGAGCCTCTGGAAAAAGATATCCTGTTTGGTAAAGTGGAAGGCCAGCGTAAAAGAGGAAGGCCCTCAGTGACGTGGATGGACACAGTGGCTACAACAATGGGCTCAAACATAAATACCCATGTAAGGATGGCCAGCACCAGACAGCCTCTCCTTCTGCTGTGCACAGGGATGTGATGACCCATAAGGGCCTTGATGGCGCTCAGCGCCAACACGGTGAGCGCCTAGTGATGAACATAAGTATCTGACAATTAGAGGAGGTTGGCTGGATATTGACATATCATGGGGGGTAAGATGTTTGGGGATTTTGCAGATGATAGGGGGAGTAGGGACCTTAAGAAAAAAAGGTCTTAGGATTGAGTGTGGATGAACAGCATTATACTGGTTTCTAAAAAGGAGGAAGGACCCACAGGGGAAAATGACTAGAGAGGAGATTGTGATTTCACAAAACTAGTCAAAAGCCATCTAGTTCACAAGTGGCAGAACTGGAATGTGAACCTGAACCCTCCATGCCTCTCACTGCGCTGAACTAGAGACCCACTCAGCAGTAAGAGAGTCGCCTCCTACCTTTTTGAACACCAGGACACTGTCGAGGATGACGTGGAAACGGCCATGGGCATTGGGAATGGAAATGGCTCCAAAAGTCAGCTCTGGGAAGTCTTTGATCACCTCAAAGAACAATTCTGCAATTTCTTCCTCTAAATCCTATTTGGGGAGTGGATCTTTGGTCACGGGTTGCCGAAAAGCAAAAAACAACAAACCAAAACAAGCCCAGCTTATTTAACAAACACATAGTGGTCAATGTTTCCTCCTCCCCTTTCCAAGTTCTCGGGTTATACTTGGTCGCCTAAACTCGTGGGTGTTTCATATCCTGAGGAGTAATCCCTAAATAAGGAAAAATCCATGAGATCCGTGGCGGCGAGAACGAATAAACTTGACCTTTTCCTACAACTACAGTGAATGCTGTTCTCATTCTGAGGTGGACACATTTTAGCATTTTCGCTACAATGGCTTTCAGAAGAGGCCATTGGTTCAACCACATACAGTCACAAATATGAACTTTATAGTAAGATATGGCTGTCGTATCAACCTTTCTTCTTTAGCTTGAAATAAAATTAAGACCAAGAATGCTATCAGAGGATGAGGGAGGGAGACACACTCCTCTCCCCATGTATAAATGTATAAATATAACTTGAACTTTCTCTCTTCCACTGAGAGAAGGAGTGTGCTGAAGTCACACCTCATGAGTTAAGACACAAGAGCAACTATTCTGCTAAACAAAAAATAGTTTGTGTGTGTACCAATACATAAAGTAAAACCATTAAAAAGCTAACGCGAGACATCTCAGGAGCGTATCAAGGTTATTTATATCCATTCTTCCCCAAACATTTTCCCCAGCTGCACTTACCAGGAGGGTTAGTGTAATTTCAAATAGCAAAATGTGAATTATGTGTTATGGGTTTCGGTGAATGGAGATCATCTGAGAGGGGTGAGGGAGAGGAGCTAGTGTGGCCCAAGCACGGCTCATTGACGGTCAGCATCATAGAAATCAAAAATCAAAAAACAATGTTCTAAGTGGGACAGTGCTACTGGCAAGACCAATGAAAGGACTGTGCCAATGCCCTCACCCCTGTCTCCATTCCTGGTCACTTTCAAGCTAGCGTCTCTTATCACCTCAGCTTCCATTTTTCATCTGTCATTTTTACCTTCAGCTCTGTGGCAGTTACATAATCCGTTAACATGCGAGGGGGTGGAGTCTAGCCTGTCAATCAGGTCACAGCTTGATGACCTCGTTTGGAGGCATAAGGAGATAGACAGATCACTGGAGGCCAGACCCAGTCTCCCTGTGAGATATTCCTGTTGACAAGCTACATGAGCTACACTGACAGAGCCAGAGCCCTGGAGCTGGAGGAGCCAGGTGGAGACACACCAGCGCTGAGATGCTTCCACTACCCCTGGATCCACAAGATTTTTCACCCACTGGCCTGTGAGCTTCCTGCATTCTGCGGCATTGCATGTGTTGCGTGAGTCTGAAGAGGAATCTACAGACTGGTAATGAACATATGGGTTAATATCAGAGTTATGGACTTGATCTGGCCTGGGCTGGAATGTTTTCTTAATATACAAATACTCTTTATATAAAGCTCTTTCTTATACACATCTGAGTGTCTCTGGATTTGTTTCCACAGTCAACCCAGACTAACACAAACTCCTTCAAAAACCAGGTCCTTGGATGGGGAGAATGGCCATGGAGCTCACCCAAGCAGAAGGACATCCCCCATCCCCCGTCCTGCACATACAAAGGGCTTCAAAACTTTTGTGAAAAATTCCATGATTTTTTAATTCCACTTTCCACAAACTTTTTAAAAAAATTCTGCTGTGAAATAATTCTTTTTTCAATTTAATTTTATTTTATTGGGGGCTCTTACAGCTCTTATCACAATCCATACATATATCCATTTTGTCAACCACACCTGTACATACGTTGTCATCATCTTTTCCAAAACATTTTCTTTCTACTTGAGCCCCTGGCATCATCAGCTCCTCATTTTCTGCCTCCCTCCCCCACCCTCCCTCCCCCATGCCCCCTTGATAATTTATATTCTTTTTCCCGTGTCTTACCCGAACTGCGGTCTCATTTCACCCACTTTTCTGCTGTCCTGGGATGGGGGCCACACAATGACCCACAGACTTCTTGAAGCCTCCTCACAGGACTCCTCACCTATAGAAAGGCCCCTCCCCCCTCCCCCACTGGACCCAGGTACCTGGAAGAAGCCCACGATGACCAAAGGCCTGGATTTCACAAACTCTGCCACCTGCTGGCTGTCCGTGAACACAGACGCTTTCTGGCTGATTTGTCTTCTCAACCAAACCACCAAGGCCGTCGATTCAACCACACCTGAAGAGAGACACAGTGGATCCCACAGATGTGTCTTCTTTTCCCAACGCAGGGCCCGCCTTCCGTGGTCCGTGAGTACAAGCATCTTGTTGGGGTCCCCTCTCTTGAAGGCCAGGGTCAGTTCTCTCCCCGCCCCACACCCCCAAGCCCCAAGATACGAATATGAACAAGAACAGCTGAAGGTCAGTGTGTCCTTACCAAGTCAGGTGAGTATTGTAAGGACGCGTTCAGTCCTCACGACAACTCTGAAACTAGGGACTCCTAGTCTCCTCGTCGGATAGGCAAGGAAACCCCTTCCACTCGCCCAAACTCACTCAACGAGTCACTCTGAGCGTGTTGCTCACCTGCCTTCCAAGGTCACACTTAAATATGGTGTAAGGTATAAGTAAGTAAAATACAAATAGAGAGACCTGCTAAGCTCTGGGCCCTGTGGAACATCCCGTCCTCCTCCTGTGTCTGCAAGTTCGCAGCTGAGACCCAAACGCCCTCTGAGAGGAGCGAATCCTGACCTCTACATCACAGGTGTCATGCGGGAGATGGCAGGCACACAATCACCTGGAGCCATCTATCAGGGGAGACAGAACGGTGCGCTAGAATTTGCATAAGGCTACAGAGGAGCCTGCGTTTCCCTGGCTCCCCAATTGCACAGAGCAGCCGGTACATGTAAGGCATTACTTTTTTTTTTTTTTAATTATTTTATTGGGGGCTTGTACAACTCATCACAATCCATACATCCATCTATTGTGTCAAGCACATTTGTACATTTGTTGCCTTCATCATTCTCAAAACATTTGCTTTCTACTTGAGCCCCTGGTATCAGCTCCTCATTTTTCCCCTCCCTCCCTGCCCTCCTCCCTCACGAACCCT